TTGACGTACGACCGGCCCAAGTTTGGCCTTGGAGCCTGCGAGCCTTGTCGAAAATCACACTCAAGGTGATAACCGGTTACTCTAGCCCGAAATACTGCGACAGACCTTAGAGTTTGCCAGGTGACGACGACAGAGATACTGGGTCCCTATAATGGGGGCACCTTGGGGGCCTTAAGACCAGTGAAATGAGAGCTGTGCTATGATGGATGAGGCCTAGAATGGATATTTAGAGGGAGAAGAGAAACAAAAGAGTGTTATGGCATTTAAAATAGTACTTTCAATTTACACGTGCCCCTTTAACAAAGCTTGAAGGCCCGGGCATGCCCCGAGTTCGTGATTCATACACAAAGAGATAGACGAAGGTTGCCCCCTAGAAAGTCATGGATGATTTGATAATTTCAAAAAACCGTTCCACTTGCTTGGACGTCGATGTTTCGAACTAGGAGTGAAATCTTTATGAATTCTTGCTTTCGAAGGGAATACTCGAGCCACCTTTCGATTTCAACTCAGATAGACATTTTTATATATCCCTAACTTTTGCATAGGACGTATCCTATCAGAATTTTGATTCTTTTTTTCTTTACCCTAATTTTTTCCTAGGACGCCCTTTACGGGTTTTCATCCTAGCGGATTTTTGTTGCGCAATGTCTTTATTCCTCAATTGGATTTTGTCTTGTAATTCCCTAGAAGCAAGGATTCGTCCATTCTTGATCATTCCTCCTATCCCGGCAATTGTCATTTCGTCATGGGAAAGTCTCGCTGTTTGAATTGTCGATTTGGGCATGTGATGCCCCCAATTACTAATAAGTGTTCCCCGATTTGATGTTTCAGGTTCGCATTTGACTCTCTAAATATAACTGTGTGTTTTTTATCTCCCATTTTCAAAAAAGTTATAATTTTAACTGAGTCTTTGTAATTTATTTTCCTTTCCTTATAATATTAATAGTCCCTCTTCTAGTCTCTTCTTTTTGTTGGATGAGTTAAGTAGTTAGTGGCAACAGCAAATTGAGGATCAAATTGAAAATTCATGATATATAAAGAAACGAAATGAAAAAGTTGTGATATTTAAAACGACCAAAAATTAAATAAAAAAGATAGTTAACACGAAATTAATAGAAGGTTAACACAAAGGGATCATTTGTGAATGAAAAAATTTGCTAGGAACAAATTTCAACCTTCAAGAAATGAAAAATCAAATAAAAATTCGTGATAACATTAGAGTTGGGATGACTGCCTGATTCTGATCCGTCTCTGTATTTTGTACATTGTTATCCATATCCATTCAAAAATTAATTATTTTTTTTAAAATAAGAATTTTAATATAAAATAAAACTATAAAATTATATTAATTATTTAACAAATTTAAAATAGATTAAAAATTATATAAATTTTAAGTAAATTCTAAAAATAAAAAAAAATTCTAGAAATTTAAAGTAACAACAGGTAGAGGTATGGGTACAGAGCGGTAAGCATATATTCATCTCTGTCCTCCTACACGATTTCATAAATTCGATATTATCTATATCTGTGTCCGGTCAAATTGGACATCTTCCATCAAAGTCAAAGTAAAGTTGAATATTACTTATAAGTATGAGTTTACTTGTCATTTCTATGTGAGAGTCTAAAAACATATTTAAAAATTATAACTTTAAAATATGGGAGAATCTTTAGCATAAATTGTGCATTAACCTAATAGAATGTGATAATTATAATATATGATACGATAAAAAGAAAGAGAACAAAAAATGAGAAAAAATGGTAGGAGTGTTTAATAAAATAAGGTGCAAAAAATCATTGTTCTATAGAATCCACCATTTTAAGTATGCAATAGTTACTTATTAAAACAACAATTATATATGAAAATTTATTAGGTAGTTCACAATTATCAAATGTTTATGGTCATTGTCAATCATTATATAACATGCAATTAAATTTTTTAATTTATAAAAAAAATTAATAATACTTGATTACATGTCATTTAGAAATTAATTAAGGATTATGTAGTTTAGATTCATCAAATAATTTCTCATTGAATATATGTAAACTCATCATTTTTGGATACCAAAGTAAGATACCAGTACCACCATTGGAGATAGCTTAGGATTTTTTCCTATAACTATAATCTCTTCTTAAGTACCCAATTCTATATCGGTTTCTTAACAATTTCTCATATGGGCATATGCCTCAATTCTGCATCTGTTCCTTGACAATTTATCACACGGGCATATGTCTCTATTTTATAACTGTTCCTTAACAATTTCTCACATGGCTTTTTATTTTTGAACCAATTTCTCATATTACTCAGGAGTATACACAAAAAAGAAAAGTACATGGAATAATTTTTCCACATGCTTATAAATCTAGCTTAATTAGAAGCCATCTTCTTTGTTTCCCTTTAAATGAATGAATCATTTTAACCTTTTGAAAAATCCCACATTCTTGTGTAGGTGAACAATGCAGGAATAAGTGGTGTTAATCCCTATGAAAGGGTAAGTATTAATTATTTTTGTCTAATGTGTGGTGAATTATGGTCTGTGTGGAGCCTCTACTAATAGAGTTTCTTCTGCATGAATGCAGGAAGGATCAACAATTAACTGGAAAGAACTGACTCAAACTTATGAGATGGCAGAAAAGTGTCTAACAACAAACTATTATGGTGCAAAGGAAACAACTGAAGCATTTCTTCCCCTTCTGCAATTATCCAACTCACCAAGTATTGTTAATGTTTCCTCCCAAGCAGGGTCATTAAAGGTATAAGTATGTCCAAAGGTCTATTTGAATAAACTTCCACAAAAGCACTTTTAGGAAGAATAATTAAATAAGTTTCTCCGTAAGTTATAATTAAATTATGTAAGTTAATTTATAAAAACTCTTTCATATAACTTTTCTAAAAAAGTAACAGGTTAGCTTGTGTATAAGTTATTTTTAATTTATGGAGAAGCTTGTTTCATCTTTCTTTCTTACTTTTTTCTTTTAAAAGTGTTTTTGGAAAAAATTATCCAAGCAAGACACTAAAATTTTCTTTGAATTTCAATATTTTTGAACACTAAAGTCTCAACATTGGCAAAATTGTGTTATGGTGATGTTCCAGAGGATAGCAAACAAATTGGCTAAAGGGGTGTTTGATGATGCTGAGAATCTTACAGAAGAGAGAATAGATAAGGTAGTGAAAGAGTTCATGAAGGACTTCAAAGAAGGTTCACTTGAAAACAAAGGGTGGCCAACCTACTTGTCTGCCTACATGGTCTCAAAAGCAGCCATGAATTGTTACACAAGGATTGTTGCCAAGAAGCATCCAAACTTTTGCATTAATTGTGTGTGTCCTGGTTTTGTCAAAACAGACATAAATGGAAACACTGGCATCTTATCTATTGACCAAGGTGCTGCTAGTGTTGTCAGATTAGCACTTCTGCCTAATGGTTCCCCTTCTGGCTTCTTTTATAGTAGGCAAGAATTGTCAAACTTTTGAATGTGCAATCATGCAGATTCAAAAATAACACTAGAGAATGTGCCTTTTGATGTTATTTTTTCACCCTTTTATGTTTGTGTCATTCTTAGGAATTAGGAGAGAACGAAGAGAAAATTACTCCCTCCGTTTTTTTTTCATAGTCGTTTTGTCAGGGTTTGTTGTTTTTTTTTTCATTGTCATATTACTAAAATCAATGAGTTATTAATTTTTTTCTTCCATTTTTATCCTTGATAATTAATACATGTTTCCTGAACAATGTGTGTATTTATTTTTAATGTCTACCTAATTTTTCTCCAACTACTCATATAAAGTTAATGTGCATTTATAAGAGCAATATGTTCCCAACAAAATACTATAAAAAAACAAAAAAAAGGGACAACTATTTAATAGAGTAGTTCAACAGTCTAAAAAATGCAAAAAAAAAAATAAAGGGTAAAATTGGAAAGTAAGTAATAAACATTTTTGAAAACTAAAATATCAATGATTTCCTTAAATCCCATGCAAAACCTTAAACGACTATGAAAAAAAACGGAAGGAGTAGCTAGTAACAATTAGGGGTCAGTGAGTTAAATAAATAGAGGAATGACTTCATTCTGTCTTGTATCATTTTGTAGTTTGAGTATTTACTCCTTTTCGTAAGGACAATTCCATAAATGGATTTTCTGACTTTATGAAAAGAAAATTATGGTAACTTAATGCATTTAAACCGTTGGATTTGTAATAATAGATCAGATTGTGACACGTGTACATTTAAGTCAAAATATATATTGTACACGTGTTACAATCTGATTTATTTTTATAAATTTAACGGTTTAAAAATATTAAGTATTAAAGAATCTGAATCTGACAATTCCTTTGAAGGAAAAATTATTAAAGGAGAGTCTGTTCTATTTATTCAAATCAATGAAAATAATTTCTTCTTTCTTTTCTACTGTGAATTCATAACAATAATAGGTCATTTTGAATAAACTTTTTAATAAATATTTCCAAGAAGAAAATGAGAGGACAAAATTATTTTTTTATGATTAAATTTTTTTTTTGGAGAACTTAATATGAAAGGATTTAAAATATTTTATTATGACAGTTTTAAAAAAATCAACTTCTATCTTTACATATTAAAAATTCCATTTTCACTTTCATAATAAATGTATAGATTAATTAAAAATTAGAGTGAGAGAGAGAAAAAGGGCATAATTGAAAAAAATATATAATGATATGTTAAACTTTGATAATGATAAATAAATAGGAAAACTTTTATATAAACATACATTATAATTATAATTATATAAGAGAGAAGTAACACAAAATTCACATTGCACCAATAGAATTCACCAAACAAAGAAGGAAAGAAGCACAATAGAGCAACTGTAGCTCAGTCCTAGATTGGGCGCTCAGTGTAAGGCTTCCAGAGAGTAATTTTAACTTTCCGGTTGAGCCACGCTAAGCATGGAATCTCGCGTTCAATGTGGGTCACACTAAGTCTGAGGATCATAGACAACATTATCAATTTTTTGTTACCTTGACGTTCAACATGGTTTCTACGATTGAAACTCTACAGATTTACGATTTTCGTTTTTACATTCAATCTTCAATCTCTTCATATAATCGGTAAAAGTGTTCTAAATCATACAATAAACATTGAAAATAATATAATTTACTCATACAATTACATCTTCAAACAATCTTCTCATATAACTCCCAATGTATTCCTTTAGGGTTTCCTATAGGAATCCATGGAGATCTCAAATCATACCATTATAATTCTAAAACCAAAATTAATCATTCATTCAAGCAATTCATAGAATTAATTATATACAAGAAGAACAAAAAGTGAAACAGACACAATTGGGAAAAACTCCTCATATATGAGCATACAACAAACACAAGATTGAGGGTCAATCCTATTACCCAATATACATTCCCACACCCAAAGAAAAGTTTCTCACTTCCCATTACCTTGTTGAACAGAAAAGGATGAAAAATTAACTCCAGGGTGGTTTCCTCCTCCTTTCGATTCTCCAAGCTCTGAAGCGTAAACACGTGACAAAAAACGTAAAACTGATCAGCTCTTTTTTTTTTCTTTTTAAAACTTAACCTCCATGTTCATATAAATCTTTGCAATCTCTAAACCATGTTTATCCATGATAAAAAAAAATAATTCTTTTTAAAGAAGACTTTATATCCATTCTTTAATATGTGTGGAACATTAAGAAGATTTTGATCCAATTCTAGAATGTAAAGAACATCTTTAACAATTATCATACCTTTCTTGGTTAAAATAGAAATTGTTCCTTTTCCATTGGCATGGACAATTTGACCATTGAGCCAAGTATTCAATTCATGTAAATTGAACTCTTGAGATGTCATAAATAAATATTCATCTTCATCGTCATTTTTTTTCTTCAATTACATTTTCCTATTTTTCTAGTTGTTGTTTAGGTTGATTCTTCTTTACTCTACAATACTTTTCGTGACTTCCCAAAATTCATTCCATTGTGCTTTGCTCAAAAGGCACCTTCAACAACTTCATTACTTATAACGGAGACTCTTTGCTCTTGTGTGTGAAGCTTGCTAGTTAATTCAATAATTGTGAGAGTTTACAAATCACAAGACTCTTCAATTGCATAAATCTTGGCTTCAAATCTTTCAGGCACTGAAACCATGATTTTTTTGATAACCTTTTGATATGTAAATGATATTTCACCAAGAAGTCGCATCTACGAGAATAATCTTTGACAAATTCATTATCTTTCATCTTCATCAATTCAAATTCTTTCAATATGAGAAGCCTAACAGATTTGACTCTGCTACTGCATTCAAATTCATCTTGTCCCACACTTGTTTAGGTGTTTCCAAGTCCATGATTTTAGTAAAAATATGATCTACAAGTCCTGTATCTAGGCAAGTGATGACTTTATCTTTCTTCAATTTCTCCTCCTCATAAGCTTTGATTTGTGCAATGGTTGGATCAACTTCAAAAATTACAACGTTCCATAAATCTTGAGATCTTAAAATAAATTTCATCTTGACGACTCAAATATGATAATTTTTACCTTTAAACATTAGAATTACAGGTGAACCGGTGAAAGTAGACATCCTTACACCAAAAATTGTTTAAACAATAAACCACTAAATTTAACACTCAACCTCATCGTATTTAGTTCAATAAAAAATTTTCTCACAGCCTGTGAGTGATAAGTGCTCAAATTGCATATTTTTATGCTTAATTTGGCACTCTTTTTGGGAGAGATGTAAGTAATTTTAGTTGTATTTGACCCTCCAAATAGATAAATTAAGATTAATCTAAGGAGTTACAAGAGTGTAGTTTCTTTGGTTGAAAATATTTCCTTTTTGTGTAGATTTTGATGAAGTTGGAAATCCAAGGCTATAGCTCCAAAGCCAAAGCTGCAGCCATGAAGCCTGAACCAAAAAGAAGTGTTCCAGAGAGTTAAGGCTATAGCTCCAGATTCAAAGCTGCAGCCACGAAGCCTGAAACCAATTCCAGAGAGTTGAAGCTTCAGCCATGAAACTAGAGCTCCAGCCTTGGAACATTCTGGGCAGTCCAAAAATTCAGAGCTACAACCCCCATTCCAGAGCTGCAGCCTTGGAGCTTTGTGCGTCTTGCAACACTTCTAAAGCTGCAGCCACACATCCAGAGTTGCAGCCTTGGGTTAAAAATCTCAACTTTCAGCTGGACAGAACGTATTTTAGGGCAAGAAAGGAAGGAAAAAAGAGTCTTTTGGAACGAAACGAAACAAAGGAAAAAATAGAGAGAAAGATCACTCGGGAGAAGAGGAGAGCTTGAAGATTAGACTTGAAGATTGACTTGCATGGGAATAAGGACCCATCTTCATTTCTTCTCTTCTATTGTGTAATCTCATCTTGTTATTTGCTATGGCCCTCACCATGAGTGACTAGTTTCTCTTGGGTTGGATTCAATGTAACTACTAACTCTATTTCTTCTTAGATCTATATGATATTCAGTTCTATTACTTGTGTTTGATTCTTCTCTTAATGCTTAATCCGGTTTGATCACCCGTTTTATGGTATTAGGTTTTTGAACCTTGTTGGGAAACATTTTCAAAACCCTGAACTGAATCATTCACCTAATAATCTTTTGTTCTAGGAATAGACTTGATTTTGTTAGCCATTTTGGTTCAAGTTATTGTCTTAATGCAAGGTGTTAATCTTAAATCATAGAGGAATCATGTTTAGGGTTAACCACCTTAGGGCTCAATTTTGAGGAATCTGGTTGAGCTAATTATTGAACATGGATGTAATAGAAGTGGAGTCATATTTATTTGATGAAGATTAAAAGAGCTAGAAAGTACATTTGAATCCAATATCTTTCTCATATAAGGTTTTTTTGTTACATTCATTATGTTACTTTTAATTGCTTTATTATAAACTTAAATCAATATTTCATTCATGTTCTCTATAAACAAGAAAGGAAATTACTAGTATTCCCAAATCCCTGATGACGGTATCAAATTACTACAACGAAGCTTGGTCCGCTTGCCAAGAGTGAAAAATCCTTAACTAGTGAGAAGTAAGCTCTTGATACCATTGTTGAAAATATTTTGTGAAAAATGTAGAAAAATTGGATCTTGTAGATAAATTGAAATTAAAATTGAAGATAAAAAATTATCATAAAAAATGATAGAGGAGAATGCATAATTATAGACTTACAATCGATTTAAAAATTTTAACAAACCTCATCTACATAACTCTACTTGTTGAGATTATATTGAATAATTGAAAACAAAATATAAAAAATAAAATTGTAATAATAACAAATAATCAATTTAAAATTTATTCAAAATTTAAAATTTAAATAAAAAAAATCTCATAAATCTAACAATAATACCTTTTGATAATCATTGTAGTCGAATGAAAATTAGATAATAATAAAATGAGAGTTGGATAGGAGAGATGTAATATATATATATATAAAGAGTAAAGGAAAAGTATAATAAAAAATAATTAGACAATAGAGAAATGAAGTTAAATTGAAAAGAATATATAAGAAAGATATAATATATATAAAATAAAAACAATAATAATAATAAAAATATAGAAAAATTATAACAAATATGTTGATATGAGAATATATGAAATTGATTTTACAATAATGTATTAGGATAATAGCTTATAGTTTATCTTTTATATTATAAATAGATTTCAGAAAGAAATCTTTAAACTAGTTTAATTCTTTTTTTCTCTCTCGAAACGCTTCAATCGTTATATTTCACTTTAAAAACTCAACATTTCCCCCCTTCTCAATGTCGTCTTACTTCACATCATCTACAATTATTATTATTATTATTTTAATCTCAAATCTCTCTTAAACTTCAAATAGCAATTTCGACTTTCGAGGGTCTATACAAAGAGAAAGTATCAAAAAGACATAATTGCAACAATTTAAAAAAAAAATGAAAATCGACTAATAAATGGCAAATGCAAATATGCAATTGCTTGTCTTATTTAAAATTTTCCTAGGTTGTTCATGCACCCACGTCCCCTTCTGGCGCCAGTGTACCACAACCACTAACAAATTTGTACTTGTCAAATGAATCAAGTTATGCAAAAGATAACATCAACATCAAATATAGTTAAAGTTACGTGCTTGACTATATTTGCCACCCTACTTTTCTATATAAAACTATACCTCTATTTCTCTATATTCATTGATTTTCAGCATAACAATGGCAGAGGCAAAACTAAGGTCAGTACTACACCACTTTAGACCATGCTTTCTCAAAACGCAGGTTTAAGAATCCTTTAAAGTCGCTTTATAAAGTATGGTCTCTCATTTGTATGTTCTATTTTAACCTTATTTCTGATCTACGTAAGACTTAGTTTTTTTCCAATGCTTTCTACTGTTTTATGGGGATACAATATACTTTCACACTACTGTCCCACATACAAATATTTGTCCTTTTGCTGTGTAATGAATGTTTGCATAATTTGTAGAACTGTGCCTGTGGTTTGTGAATTCAGGTATGGTGTTGTTACTGGGGCAAACAAAGGGATAGGATTTGAGACTGTTAAAGAGTTGGCCTCAAATGGAGTGAAGGTGGTGCTCACAGCCAGAGATGAGAAAAGAGGACTTGAAGCCATTGAGAGATTGAAAGAGAGTGGTCTCTCTGATTTGGTGATTTTTCACCAGCTTGATGTCACTGATTCTGCTAGTATCGCTTCATTAGTAGACTTTGTTAAGAACCAGTTTGGGAAACTTGATATCTTGGTAAGACGTGCTGATATGATATTTGAATATTCTGAACTGTGGAATTCAGTTTCAATTTCTCACTTTTTCATTTTAAAGCAAAATGGCAAATTGATGGATTGTAATTTGAAAATATGAGGGAATCTTGTGTATAAATTGTGCAGCACTTTGGTTGTGCACCGTACTAGTGTTGCATATCCCATGTGGACTAATGACATGACAAAAATAGAGTACATATATTTTTCAAGAAGAGCGTGATATCTTTTTTGTGTATCAGTATTCACACATGTCTTCATACTAATAATATATGTTCACTTTGAGTTTAACTCTCATGTATTTCCTATTTCCATGTGGCCTTGTACCGATGGAAACTTTATGTGTTCATAATTATATGTTCCTTCTCTTGTTTTGACAATGAGATCGTGTTACCTTCTTTGTTGAAGGTATTCTAGAGGTGATATAAAAGTCTCTAAAACTCAAAACTATAGCATATGGTAGGCGGCTATAGGTACTGCAAAATTAAGCAGAAAAATATAACAGAAAAGTAGTTAAAGGCTGAATGATTCACTGTTTTCATGTTTCTTTCTTCATCTCTTTATGCAATATAACACATGTATTTATAGATTGAAAAGTGGCTCTCAGATTACTCAAAAGTTACAATCACAAATAGGCCTCTACTAAACACTAATGACAATAAGCACATTATTCAACACTTTGCGTGCAGCGTGCCTAACATTTTTTGCTAAAGTTTTACTTAAAATGTTTTCTTAAGTACATAATTCTCTATTTGTTGTCTTACAATTTCTCTTATGGTTGAACAATGTTTATAGTTCATGACTCTACAGGGAAAAAAAAAAAAAAAATTTGCTCGGAATAGTTTCCTTGCATACTTACAGGAGTATCTGGTTCAGTGAGTGATTAGGTAAACATATTTTGGTTACGATACTTGGGAAAATAGTAAGGTTCTAGGGCATCTAACAAGATATAGAATGTAGGTAGGAAGTTGTCTTTTGTTATCTATCCTTTAGCTTAATATGAACGAATCGAATTATCATCTTAAGAATTCCAAATTCTTGTGTAGGTGAACAATGCAGGAATCACTGGTGTCAATCTGGATGAATATGAAATGGTGAGTATATGTGTGTGCATGTGCATATATACATTTGTTTACTATGTTGGATTTATGGTCTATTTGGAGCCTCTATCAAAGCTGAGTTTCTTCTGCATGAATGCAAAAGGGATCAACGATTAACTGGAAGGAACTGGGTCAAACTTGTGAGATGGCTGAAAAGTGCCTAACAACAAACTACTATGGAGCAAAGAAAACAACTGAAGCATTTCTTCCCCTTCTGCAGTTATCCAATTCACCTAGGATTGTTAATGTTTCCTCCCAATCAGGGTTGTTAAAGGTACAAGAGTGCTTAAACTTATCTTTAAACTTGACTCAATTTGAAATATGTTGGTTGACATGCCTATTTGGTCCCTATAGTTGGATGAAGTTTACCTTTTCAGTTCTATAGCCAAAAACATTTTATTTTAGTCTCTATATGTACCATTTTTTTTTCCTTTAGTTCCTATAGTTTTATAAATTTTATCTTTTAGTCCTAATAACAAATAGATGCAGAAACTAAAAGAAAACAAAAATGATATGTATAAGAACTGAAATAAAATGTTATTATGATATAAATTAAAAAGTAAAATTTATGAAACTATAGGAACTAATTATTTAAAGTAAATATTATTTGCTTTACCTTCTAAACACTGGTAAAATTGTGGTGTTTCAGAACATAGCAAACGAATGGGCTAAAGGGGTGCTTGATGATGCTGAGAATCTTACAGAAGAGAGAATAGATGAGGTACTGAAAGAGTTCATCAAAGACTTCAAAGAAGGTTCATTAGAAAACAAAGGGTGGCCAACCTTTGTGTCTGCCTATGTGGTTTCAAAAGCAGCCATGAATTCTTACACAAGGATTATAGCCAAGAAGCAACCAAACATGTGCATTAATAGTGTTTGTCCTGGTTTTGTCAAAACAGACATAAACAGAAACACTGGCATCTTATCCGTTGACCAAGGTGCTGCTAGTGTTGTCAGATTGGCACTTCTGCCTCATGGTTCCCCTTCTGGCCTCTTCTATATTAGGCAAGAATTGTCTAGTTTCTGAGTGATTTGAAAAGTATTGCAAATACATTCATGCATATTCATGAATAAATTCATGACAGTGACGACACAGTGTGCTTCTTGCCTGTATTTTGTAAGCTTATGCAAGTTTAGTCAAAATTTCTTATCTTTTTATGAAATTTCATTTCTAGGACATGAGATGAACTATTCCTGGGTTATGGAATTTTAAATTAATTCAAAGTAATTGTTAAACCTTCTCATCTATTACTTGGGTATAATTATGTAAAAGGTATTCAAGTTTTCCAATGAATTTATATTGTGAATTATAGAGTATATGTTTATCTTTATATAACCACAGAATTGGTCAAATTCTTAAGTGCTCGAGAAGAGCTTGGCCAATTTGATTCTTTGCAAGATAGATGACACTTGAAACTAAAGGATTGGTAGGTTATGTATAGTGCAACACTTTGTTGCATTTAAACTTCTGTCACACCATCATCATCTATTTGTTGTGAGAGAAATCAGAGCATATATCCTTTAATCCATTCTATGAAAATAAACAGGTTTAATCTTAAGAGAGCTAAAAATTTAATTTTTATATGTACAAATTTTCACTCTTCTCAATAAAGAGCAAGAGTTATACAGAGAGCAAAACGTGAGATATTAGTGCAGATGGATGAGATCTATTTGAAGGGGCTAACACTTTTGAAATTGTTACTCTTTCTCTTAATAAACCAGAATTAAAAATAGGTTTTTTTTTTTACAAATGATGGATAAGGAAACTCTGAGATTGAAATTGTGATATATCACAACTAAAGTGTGATATCATAATCTAACACAACACAACATTAAATTAACAAATCTGAATCTAAAATTAGGGACCAAAAACAGTATACCATTACGTGTAAATAACGCTTTTCTACCGAAATACACCTGACTAATGAATGACAAATGCATTTGTTTGTCTTAAATTTTTTTTTTCCTAGATTTTTCATGCACCCCAACTTGCACCAGTTTGCCACCACCAAATTTGTACGCATGAAGAAGGAATGAAGTTGTCGACACGTCAATTATTGTACAAACTGACATTCTCCGGTATTTATCTCTCTCATTCAAACATTAATTGAATTTCAGCATATCTATGGCAGACGGAACTAAGGTTACTACTAATACTACTACACATTTTAGACTATGCTTAATTTCTTCTTTTTTGTGGGGCTACCCCACACTATTCCTACATGTAAAGGTTACTACTACTACTACACATTTTAGACTATGCTTAATTCCTACATGCTTAATTTCATCTTTTTCCACTAGCTTGATGTCACTATCTCTGCTAGTATTGCTTCATTAGTAGAGTTCTTTAAGACCAAGTTTGGGAATTTTATATCATGGTAAGAAAAGAAGACCTGCTGATATGATTTGAATATTTCTGGACAATGGAATTCACTTTCAGTTTCTCACTTTTCATTTTTAATTGATGAATTGTAATTTGAAAATATGAGGGAAATTTGTGTAGAAATTGTGCAGCACTTAGGTTGTGCACTGCTCTAATAGCACAGTATGATTCTCAATTACAATTTATCTGGTACACTTCTCATGCAATATTGATTATGGAACACAGATAACTTCTTAGTAGCTTCATTCAGTTTTCAGCTTAAGAGGTGGAAATAGAAAGGCTTGTTATTATTTATACCTCACTCTCTCATCATTTTGTATCACTTTAATTATGAATGGATCACTCTACCGGGGTTTGGACTTTTTACTCTCTTGTGTTTTATTCATTGTTCATGCATTCATTCAAGTAGTTCCGACTGTTTCATTCCCATGACTGTTATTTTCCAAATAAATAAATTTGTAGTGAATTATTAAGTAAATTATAGTGATATAACGTTTTGTAAAACTACACCGACACTGCTTTTTTAACATTTACATTAGCCTCTCTTACCGGATTATATTTATCGTGTAATATTTTTCAAATGCTTAAGAGAAATTAGTGTAATGTTATTAGAGGTAGGCATGGCAAAAAGCGGGGCGGGTTTTATGTTCCCCGCTCCCGTTCCCGCAAATTTAAACTACCCCCACCCCCGCCCCCACCCCCAATACTTGCCGGGGAAAAAATTTGGTACCCATCCCCGTCCTTGGTAGGGTTCGGGTTTTCCCGCCCCGCCCCTGCCTCCGTTCTTATCTTTTTGTCTTCTTTTTCTTCTTTTTTTCTTTTAAATAAATATGAACAAATTTTAAAAAAATAAAAAAAAAAGTAAAATAATATAAATTTTTATATATAAATATTTTTAATTTTAGTTTATATATATATA